AAGGAACAAAAAGCTTTTTCTGTAACTTTGATATACTGAATAAAAAACAACATGGATTCAGAGAAGGTCATTCCACTGAAACTGCAACAAAAGAGTTCATAAACGAAAAACTAGAGAGAAAATAATCCATTATTGGAATTTTCTTCGACCTGTCATGTGCATTCGAAATGCTAAACTTTGATTTAATCGTAACCAAAATAAATCCCAATCCCAAGTACATTCGAGGAAGCATATCACAAAGGATCCGTTCATTTCTAGAAGATCGTAAGCTGATAGGTAAAATTAGTGAACAAACTTTCGATGATTACTTAATCGACACTGGTATTCCCCAGGGGGCCTTCCTGGTTACATAAATGACGAAGAGGTTTATTAGTTCGCAGACGATAGTATCCAGCCCAGATACAAATGAGCTACTCAGAAAAACAAATAACGTTATTCTCCAATTTGATAATTGGTGTAAAAAGAACCGTTTGATCATAAATTATTCCAAAACCATTGCGGTTCAATTCCAGAGATCCGAAACACGGACATTTTCCACTGAACAACTAAACATTAATAATCAGACAATAATATTTCAAGAAAGTTGCAAATTTCTAGGTACAATTGTTGATAGCAATCTCAGATGGGAGGAATGCATCACTATGATGTGCTCCAAATTGAATAAACAGTACTTCGCAATAAAAAATCTGATGAGTTGCCTGATGCGGAGGGTATAATTTCTATGCATTGGTTTACTCGACTATAAGTTATAACATTGTAGCTTATGGTTTGGCCACCGATAGTACCAGAGTCTTTTCAGCACAAAAAAGGATAATTCGCCTGAAGTTCCATTTGGATTATCGAGAATCATGCAAAAATATCTTCAAATATCTTTCACGAGTATTTATTTATACAAACTTCTGATTCACACCTACATTTACAAAAACAGTCTCATGCAAAATTAAAAATTTCACAACGAAAAAACGAATTTAGACTAGAATTAGGCACATACAACAATTATAAAAAATCTCCAAAATATGCAGGCGCGAATGTCTACAATTTATTACCCCATGAATTGAAAAAACAGTTGAACATGTTCAGATTCAAGGCTAAACTGAAATCTTTTCTGCTTCTATGATATAAAGGATTTCACGATGTGTTGTCAGAGTCCTATTGACGATTTTAATTCAATTGGATAGTTTTATATAAGTATTCTTATATTTTACGGACATTATTGATTTTTATATTTTATTTTAGCAATAAGCAAAATGTAGCTACGGTATTTTGTCTTGCCAATCCAATGTTTAATTGGTGTCTGATCAATAAACTTCCATCTATCTGTCTATCTATGAAATTGAAAAGTTCAAGGATAGACGAGACTCTTCCACACGGGGTTCATTGCAAGGTTGAGCTTCGACCGCCGCGCCGATCAAAATTTGTAATTTGTTCTCTGTCTTCCACTGCGAGGTAGCTAGTGGAAACCAGAGAAGAAAAAGAAAGCATTGGCGATCCAATACCACAGATCCTACAACTAAATCAGCTACTGGTCCCATTATTTCTCATTGAGTCTTGGATCTGCATCGTAAAATGTTTGTATGAGACTTTATTGTTTTTATTTAGTATTCTCCAAAAATTGAAATGAAGAAATTAGCGTTATAACAAGATCTTCTAGAGCGTTGGAACAAACTAAGCTTTATGAAATGAAAATCGTGATAATTGAAGTTTTATATTCATAAATATATAAAACATATGTAAATACATGTTTATGTAACAAACTCCCATTTTTCTCTTCTTCAGAACATGATGAAGTGCTGAAAAAAAAAAGATTATTCTTAGTTTGAAAGTTATTCCATGGTATTATTTGTATTCTCCAAGTCATACACCAATGAGTTGAACAAAACATTCGGATATTATTGATAAACTAGGCAAGAGGATGATTCAATAGAAACACCAATGATAAAGAGAAATCTGTCAAGTAACAATAGACACGTAGGCTAGTTTCTTTACTATCAGTAAAATCGAAAATTATATGACAATCTCTCAATCAATGTTAAATATTTGTACTGTTTTAACATCAACATAAACAGGTGGCATGAAAACCCTCAACATGTCTGGTACGAGGAGTTTACTTATCAAATTTCAATGTTATAGCTTATCAGATAGTCCTTCTTCACTCCCCAGCTCTCTCGAAGACCTTTTCCTAAAAGTGTCCGTCAATAGTTTTCTCTTGGATACATTTATCATGCAGTTGGTGTTTCCATGGATCCATATTGTCTCCAACCATTGAAAAAACCACTAATCCAATATTTCATCTTGTTGATGACCACACATTTACCACTAGTTTCTATTTGGGTGCAGATCTTTGACGATACCAAGATCTTTTACTCTCATTGAATATCTGGAAAAACAACTACTTGGGGTGATATGGTGCCAAAACTCTAATATCGGATTGTTTCTAAGAAATTGAATGTGGTGGAACTGGACATCCAAACGTCAGAACATCCAATTCCGTTATCTTCCTTGATTTATTTGTTCTGTGTCATATTGTATACCAACATCTTGGCACAAAATCACGTTGCTGGGATAGTGAAGTGAGCTTCTCACATACTTGGAACACTATTTTGTACTAGGAAGTTGTAAACACATCAGCACCCGTGGGTTGGGCTACCTATTTGGCGCGTCCTCGGGTGGCGGATAGGGAAACGGCCAGGGAAATGAAGGCCCTGTCCGGGAAGCCAATGTGGCCTTATGGACGGGGTCGCCGGACTCCTGGTCAGTGGCAGAAATAAGTAGGGTGAGGGGAACTAAAACTCCCTAAAAGCCTTTGCAAAACATATGCTCACCTCAAGGCGGTGGTTAGGGATGAACAGAAATGTCCACCCCAATCTACCGCTTGAAATGAGGCTGGACATAGCAGATCACCTCGTGATGTAGTAAAAAGTCCAAGGCGACAGTAATGTCGCTGCACCTTCCAAAACCTTCGCGGATGCCACCGTGAGACACCTCAAGGTTGCCAAAGAGAGTATAAGTTCAGCGAGTCTTGGCCTACACCTGCCAATATGTTATATTTAGATATTCAGGGCAATTCCTTTAAAAAAAATAGTAATAATAACCTACAAAACATTAATACCAACAAACAAAATATCAGCTATGTCGAGAATTTAAAGTATTTGGGAATTTTCAGCTTCTTCTTGCGAAATTAAAATTCATAGGGTTTCAAGAAAGAGCTTTGGAATTAATGAATAGCTATATCCGAGGTCGATCACAAAGAGTAACGCTTGATAATACCTGCTATTCTCAACCCTTGAAGAGACTATTTCTGGAGTACCCCAAGGTAGTATTCTTGGGCCCTTATTATTTGTAATTTTCATTTTTGATTTTCCATCATCTTTAAACTTTTGTCAAGTTCACCTATATGCCGATATAGAAAACTATGTGAGCATTATTAACGAAGATCTCCAAAACACTCAAGTTTATTCTGAAAAACATAGCTTGCGTATCAACCCAAACAAAACTGTTGCAATCTGCTTAGGCCCTCAGAGACAGACTTATCAGATCAAACAACATAGTCTCAGAATGAATCAAACGGACATTGAATGGGTTGACTCAACGAAAAATCTCGGATTGATTATCGATCAAAACTTGAACTTCAATGACCATGTCCAAAATATATTTAAAATAGCGTTCTTCAAACTGAAATCACTTCAAAAATTTAAATATCAACTATCAACCGAAATGAAACTTAAACTAGTCAAATCCCTCATCTATCCACATATAGAATACTGCGCTCCAGTGTATTATAATTTTCTACCGGAATATAATCGACAAAAGTTGCAACGCATTCAAAATTCTTGTATGCGTTTTGTTTGCTGTGTACCTTATAGAGAGCACATTACTCCTTTTCTGATAGGATTGAGAGAATTAAACATAAAGTGTAGAATGGAATATCTGATCACAATATTTCTTTTTAAACTCATCAAAAACAAAATACCCCTGTATTTATTAGAGCTTATAGTACGTCGTTCTAATATCCGTAGCATCAATACCAGGTTCAATAATTTCAACATTCCAAGCCATGTTACATCTAAATACGAAGGATGCATTTCCTATCTAGCACCGTTATTTTTGAACAGGATAATTCCTCTTCTGAATTCATCTTTATATGAAGTGAAACATCATTTGAATTCAACTTTGTTGACCGGCATGGAGTAATGTATTGCAGTGTAGTGTTTTCCTTTACTTTTCTGCAAACTGAGATGTATTTATCATATTCTTTCTTTCAATTTTGCCGCTGAAGAAAATTGAATTATATTAGGTAATTACCTTATTTCTCATAAATGTTATTTGTATTACTTAGCAGGAGGGGTGGAAGATAGCCATAGGCTAACCCCTACCTTTTGTGTGTAATTTATGCACAATAAAGCTATTATTATTATCATTATTATAATTTTTTTTTCACCGTAGTGTGCGCTGGTCAGGCCCTATCCTCCGAAGCCCCGATACATTCGGGAGGGCGCGCCAGCATAATCAACATTCTATTCTATTCTATTCTATTCTATTCTATTCTATTCTATAAAGGAGATGTCTCCTAGTGACCTGCCCACCTTCCTGGAAAGGACAGGATGGACGATGACCTAGGACGACAACTCTTCGGGAGGATGTACTGTGTCACATGTGGCCTCAACCACCATACTCCCCAGACCTCTCACCAACCGACTACAATATTCTCAAGCACTTCGATAACTTTCTCACCGGTAGAACTTTCGCCAATCAGGACCAGGCAAAAACGGCATTCATTGACGTCATCGAATCTCCAGCACACTATTTTTGTGCCGACGGAATTACTCGACTTGTGCTACGTTGGTTGAATAAATTGAATAAGTATTCACTGAGATAATGCAGTTTAAAGTAGATTAATAAAAACGGACAAATGTTTTAAAAACATATTCTCATCCATGCATGTTTTGAGGAATTAAAACATTTAAGTTTGATCCGACCTTAACAAAATCAGAAATACTTACTTCAGGGTCTGCGTTGTAGTAACATTTCATCATATCAAATATTATTTCGTAGGGTTCAGCTTCACCTGAAATATCCTCAATTGATCAAATTCTTATACCTTATAGAATTACTAGATTTAAACTATTCGTAATGAATGCATTGGCGTAGCTAGGAATATTTCCTAGTGGCTAATCCCAGCTAATCAGCCACCACATCTAGAAATCACTCAATTTTTAGTATTATTGACAAATTCAAAGAAACTATTGATGAATTTAATTTAATGCCTCCGTTTTCCCACCTCATACAATATGGTATCATCTTGAATACTACCGTGAAGTTGAACAAATCGATAATGCAGCATTGGCCAGAGAATATTTAAAAAAAAAGTATTCCATTCAATTTTGTTTTCTTGTGTGAGATACTGACTATATGAATTTGTATTCACAAACAATTCCAATTAATTTCTTTCTAAAGGTAATAATATTAAAAATAAAATATATTCTCCATATTCTAGGATAAACTTTGCATCTCTAGCTACGCCCATGTATGAGTCATGATTATGTATATAGTTATAATTATGGTGGTGATAGAAACCATTAAAAATTCTTACTTGATTCTCTAGCTTCTTTGTTACATCTTTCATATATTTTCACGCCGTTTTTCACTTTTTTAGGCATATACTTCGTCAATAACTTGTGGTTCATAGTCAAATCAGTATTCATCTGAAAAAGTTTTATTATTGTAGGAGGAATTGATAGAAAAGATTATTGAAAGAAATTTGATACATTTGTGGAATTGAAGTTTTAATGTAAAAAAGATTTTCCGTCGTTCTGATAATACCTGATGTATAGAAGGCTCAATTCATTATAAAGCCATTGCTAATGCCCCTCATTACTGGTCAGCGTGATAATCTGGTTTTGTGATGATAGTTTGAAAGTTATTTAGTTAAACAAAAAAGAGTAGTTCAAAAAATATTACAGATATTCAGTACTGGGAAAAATATTTTGGAAGAGTAGAAATTCACTGAAACAATTCTTACTTTCTGAAACTGAAAAAAATTCATTGCAATTTATTTTTCTTTCAATTATTTGCTTTAATGAATTCCCAATTTTTCCCAAATTGAAGAGCTACATATAAACCGTGATAATTTTAGAAAGTGAAGTCTGGAATTTTTTTCTAGTCAAGTGCTATTCTTTGAAGACTTCGGAAGAGATTATTGCCGGAAAAATTGAAAACCAAAAAGTTTCCATATATTTATGAACTATCAACGATGTTAAAAAATTGAAAACGATAATGAAGCATTGAAAAATTGTTTTTTCTGAAATTTTGACTGGTTTGGTTTTTTTCATTGATGAAAGCTACATCATTATGATATTTTTCCAATTTTCATTCCCACTTATGAGGCACTGTTTGGAAACTATGGTGTGGTAATGAATATTACTGGATTTTTTTCCAACACCAAACCGTTATTTTCAATACCTCGACACATGTTTCGATCACAACATGATCATCAAGAGGAAGATTAGTTTTAGTTTATTCTTCGTCTTGAAGATGATCACTTGGTTATCGAAATACGTGACGAAGTGTTGAAAATAACGGTTTGGTGTTGGGCTAAAACTCCAATAATATACATGCCCACTTTTTGAAAAATTGTAATGAACAAAAACATTTCTCATGCGAAAATTGTGATACTTTTTGAAAATCTAATAATCTGACAGTCAAATGATGATTTTGAAGAAATATTGATATAATTATTGCATTAAACACATTTACTCATTAACTATTCGTTTTTGCTTGTAAATATCGATATTAAGATAACACTATTTTGAAAAACCAATATTTCCACTGCTCTTTTCTGTCCTGGAAAGGTATATGATTTTTCCAATATTTACTCGTTTATTTGATTTTTCATAAACAAATAAATTTTCGAAATCCATTTTTTGACTAGTTAAAATTAACTGAAAATAACCATGCATCGTTTCGAAAAAAAAAAAAGAAAATGAAACAAAAATACAAAATGATAAAATGTGAATAAAAACTAGAGAACGAGAAAAAATTCTTTTTCAGTACCTATACGAAATAGAAGTGAAAATAATATAATTTATATGGTATTTCAGACAAAATGATATTGGCACTTATATGCAAAATGCATAGTTAAATCATAAATGCATTTCTATTCAATGACAAATGTTTTAAAAAAATGTGTTCAAGTCATTTTTAATATTATTATTCAGATCCTTCACCAAGGAAGTCAGTTACCTATAAAATAATGCATTGAGAAATACGCATTTTTTTGGTGGGAACATTAAAAAAAACGCACAATGATTTATTTATATTTTTGACTCATTTTTGATCAGTCTGGAGAGTTAAGCTCTGCCAATATCGAACAGAGTGTAAAATAAACAATACCAGACATCGTTTTTTTAATTGCAATGGATAGCAATAACATACTCTCCAGAAAATTAATGTTATCAAATGAAAATGAATGCGGTAACTGCAGTATCGTTAGTTACGAATACATTTTCATTATGATATCCTACCACGTAATAACGACTACATCCATCAATTTATTCGAAGACGAAGATCAAAGTAAAGTACTCACCTCTTCACTAACTAGCCACAAACATAAGACGTATCTCTATAACAAAACATATTTAAATTAGGTGGTAGCTCATATTTTATATAAAGTTATAAATGTATTACCAGAGTGAAAATGCAAAATATACTTCAATACTTTCAAAATTTGACCTTTCTCATGGCGAGCATCGTAAATCATTCGAACAAGTAATGATTATATTATTTCTCGACGGTGGAATATTGAATTTTTGTATGCAGCAGGAATATTTGAAAAAAATAGATTCATTTGTGAAGAATACTAACAATTAAAGTAATATCATGAATTCATAAGAAGATACAACCTTAAAAAGCTTCTCTTCATTTACTCGATTCAATTTTAAATTCACCTCATTGTTATCTGGTATATAAGTTAGTGAATTTTTCATATGATCAACTGTAATTGGTTCGGTGGTGTAAATTATGGATCATTAATTACAAGAAACGGTCGCATAATCAACAGTTTTCAAAATAGTCGAAAGAAAAATAAATTACTCACCTTCATTTGTTCAGTTGCATCAAAAATTCCATTTTTCAAACTGTCAATTTCGGCTAGTGTAACTCCCATTATAGCAACGCATTTTTTGTGTAATGTTTTGGACAAAGCTAGGAACTCCTCACCATAATCCTGTAAAAAAATATCATTTTCTTCAGATCATGCCAGTTTGATTTTTACTTTTGTCGAGATTATACACTGTTTTGAAAGTTCTGCCACTAATAGAGTTTCTCCGTATTCGTCTATTTCAAACAGTTCAACTACGGAATCTGTAACTTGGAATCAATATTGAATAACATAATTTCATGAAGAAACCTCAAGCACAATGAACTGTGTAGAATACCATATATATACAATAGTGTTTCGATCTTATTATTATCCAAATTTTTGTAACTGAACTCGTATAGACTTTATCACTGATCTAGTTGCAACATATCATGGTCCATATGGAATTACAGTTAACTGAGTCACTGTTAACAGAATCTAGGATCAGAACTAGAACGTTCATCACAAACCTTCCCATAAGGATATTACTGAACATCCAGATTCTACCCATACATATAAACACAAAGTAGCATCTTATAAGGCATGATTCACAGATTAGTCATTGTTCCTCTTTGAATAGAAAATTTCAATAAAGAACTTAATACCTTCAGAAAAAAAATGCAGAAATCAACGTATTTGTAGCTGAATTCATAGACAAAATACTTTCCAAAAATGTCTACGCAAAAGCGATTCATTTTTGAATAAACGATATATTGAAATTGCATATAGACCAGTTGATAGTTGCAAATAATAAAGGCCAAATATCAAAATTAGAGAAAGCAGGAGTATATAAATTGAACGTTTTCAAAGGTATATGTTGGTCAAACTGGTAGAACATTTATGAATCGTATCCAGGAACATCATATGACCTATTTTAATAAGAAAACAAGTTCAACATATTTAAATCACATTTTAGAAGAAAATCACATCTTTAATGAAGATTTTGAAATTTTACACATAGAAAATGGAGATTTAAAACTGAATAATTTGGAAGCAAGCATTCTGATGAATGACCAATTAGATTCAAATAGTTCACCATTATTGAACTTGTTTCCTTAAAAACTGATGAAGTATTATTATTGTAGTAGTATGTAGAATTAATGTAATTTGCTTTAGGTAATCACAATTGAAGATGTACTTTAGGTATATAAAAGTTGTAGATATTTTAGGTAATTTGATCGAGTAAGTACCTAATAGGTAGTCTCAATTGTGATTACGTAGGCTATATAAATATCAGAGTAAGAATGAACTTATAGTACTTAATTGTCTACGAAAAAGTTACTGTGATAGCAAAACATGTGATATATTTCTCCAAATAAAGTTTGTGGAGATCAAATAGTAGTTGTAGTTTACGAAGCTGGAACATTCAGCAATAAACAACAATAAAATTTAGTTTTCAATCAGATGCCCCAATTCATGCATACATACGCCATTGCCAGTTCTAAATTTTATAGAAGATTGGTAAGTATTCTGGTGCAGGTGTTTTTGGTCGCAGATCCGGGACAGAGATATCTCCCTGCCTAGGAACCTATGCGACTGTATTTCAAGCGGAAATGTACTCTATTGAATTGTGTGCGAAAAGATTTGTAGAATCCAGCCTCATACACAGGTCATTAAAATATTCTTGGACACTCAAGCGGCATTGGAAGCTCTTGGCTCCTACCGAGCAACGTCTAAATTGGTAGCAAATTGCCAAAAAACGACTCTCCTCGAAACGGAGACTTGACGGATTGTCTCTGGTGTGGATTCCTGGCGATACTAGCCTGGAAGGCAATGAGGCGGCTGAATCCCTTGCAGAGGAGGGTGCTGCAAGCAGCTTCATCGGACCAGAACCTGTCATTAGCATCGCTTTAGGGTTTGCCAAACAAAGATTGAACATCTGGATGGCAAGCAGATTTATGGACTAACAGGTCTTCTTAAAGAATACTCTCATTTGAATCATCATATGCAGAGACTCGTATTGTCGGAAGACAGTGTGTGTCGCCTTTGTTTGGAAAATGATGAAACAGCAGAGCATATACTTTGTGCCTGCCCCGCTGGCGTACGAATTAGGTTTTAAGAGTTTGGCAGAGCCGTACCCTTACCATCTGATCTGAAAGACCACTCACCATACAAAATAATCGGTTTCTTTAAGGAGCTGGGTTTATGTGGTCGAGTGTGAATAGGTGTGAGCCATAAACCCTTGCAGGTTGCGGTGAAGGGTCGAATATACCCACTCACTTCAAACCTATCGTAACCTAAGTATTATTGGATATATTGGAAAGTAAAACTCACCTCGTCCGGTAAATAACCATACACTGATGAGATGACAATGGTAGTAGCAATCAACAATATTATTTTCATCGTGGTTGACTGGAAAAAATATGTTTTTTCGTAATTCACATAAAAATATTTTTGCACCAATTAATCGAGTTATGATGGCTTCATATCAAACAATAATATTTACTATATTTAGTAATATTGTTCAACGATGGTGAGAAAAATTGTTGATAGTTTACATTCTGGCAAATATTTTTCCATTAATATTGAACTTTATCAAATTAGTGATTTTTCTAGATACCCATACTTCACAAGGGGCCGTCAATTAATCACGTATCCCCCTTGGTGATACGTGGTGAGGTTTGAGACTCCCCCTCCACCTCCCACACCCAAAGTAACGTGTATTTTTTAGAACCGTACAAAGAATCTTATATTTTTTAGAATATTAACTATAAATATATTAAATACACAAATACGTGATAAAGGAACTTGAGCAGGGCGATCACACTGCGTTTATGCTTTGTGACCTGTCGAAAGCGTTCGACTGCGTCTCACATGAAATTCTGTTAGAAAAATGATTACAGAGTTAGAGATATTTCGCTTCACTTAATAAGAACCTATCTTACTAGTCGTCAACAAGCAGTGATGCTCAACTATACTTTATCAAACTTTCAAACTATTAAGCATGGCGTTCCGCAAGGGTCTGTTTTGAGTCTGCTCTTATTTGCAATTTATTTGAAGGACTTGTGCAAATATATGATGGTATCAAATTGTTTCTCTTTGCGGAAGACACCACTTTCATTCTATCGAATAAAAATAATGATATGTTACATTCTCATCTCGACGAGGTATCTAACAGTGCTAATCACTGTTATATGCTATATGCTATGCTATATAATAAGCTGGAACTGAATGGTCAGAAGACACAATATATCCAGATTTCTGCTAATAATCAAATTATCTCTGATTGTGTCAATAATAAAGTTAAATTACTAGGCATTACATTAAATAATAGACTCAACTGGTCTGCACATATTTGTCAACTGAAAAGAAAACTCGTGGCTTCTCTATTTGTTCTTCGCCAATTGAAGTACATCATTTGTGCAAATATATTAAAAACCTTAAATTTTCCACTGTTTCACTCCCATATTATTTATGGTGTATAACTTTGGGGAAATTCATGTCATTCCATTCAAATATTCAGGATGTAAAAGGGATCATTGTCAAGAATATATTTAAAAAAACTCAGAATTATGTCACTGCCAACTTTATTTCTTCATTACGTTTCATTTGAAATCCATAAGAAGAAAACATCTTTAGTGAAACAATGTCACATTCACGAACATAACTTGTAGAATTTGAATGTAAAGCCAAACATGACTTGCTACAAACATTTTGTATTATGTATTATTATTATTATTCCATCATTTTTTCATCAGTTGAGCGAATAACAACTCATAATCATGAAGAGTCGTTTTGCAAGCGGTAATAAATTATATATTTCATCGATTGTAAATCAACATCGAATTGGTCCTGACCCTTCATTGATAAGATTGGCAGATTCTGTAAGAAATTATCGAATATTTAGCATTTCTTGTTTCACAAACGGTATCAGACAAATTTGAACTATTGATACGACGATATCAGCATACATTTTTTATTCATGCAACGAAGTTGCATTGTTGCAATGTCGAAAAATAGCTTCACATAACGAAATTTCCAAAACATACAAATTTCAAACCACCAGAATGGGAAAAAACGTAACAAAGGACCTATTTACCTCTGCACGGTTTTTCCGTGTCATTTTTTAAATTTTCATCTGAAAAATATGTTATTTTTGTATTACATGAAAATGTGTAGAACATACATCTAAAACAAAAATCCTTTCGAAACAATTAGTTCCACATGTACATTGATTCATACAAAAGGGGCAAATTTCCCACATTTTTGTTTAATGGTGGAGAAGTGAAAAGCCAAAAAACTATTTTTCAAAAAACTAATCTGTCTTAATTACATCCCCTTTACAATTTTAATATTTCAAGTTATGAAAACTTTAGAATAAAAGAGTAAAAATGGATTTTTTTCAGAATATATAGTAGTAATGGTTATAAACACATACGCTATACGTTCAAAAAATGAGGTAGATTTTTATTTTTCTCAAAAAATATTTATTCATTGATCAATTTCTATTTTGTCCCCTCCAAAGTTCCTATCTCCTCGATCTTTGCAAAACGCCACGTCGTCATTTCATGCGTCTCTTCAATCTTGGCAATAGGAAAAAGTCGCAGGGAACAAAATCAGGTGAATACGGTGACTGAGGCATGATTACGGTGTTGTTTTTGGCCAAAAATCACGAACAAGTAATGACGAATGAGCAGGTGCATTATTGTGATGCTAAAGCCATGACTTGTTCTTCCACAATAGATGGCGCTTTTTTTCGTACTGCTTCTCGCAAGCGGCGTATAACTTCAAGATATTACTCCTAATTGAAATGATTTGTCATCAATTATGACCTTTATGAGCAAAGCGCCGTCATTTACATCTCCCTGACCTTCTTTCAAAAGCTTATACCATTTGTAAACATCTTTCTAATTTATAGAACATTCAACTTATTTTTTGAACAGTCCACCTTTAAGAAAATTGTGGGATAAGATTTTTCTCATATAGACGTTTGAGTTTTGGATTTGGTAGTTGGTAATTTGAATTGAGAAAACGAATTTCACAACGTTGGTAAAAAGTGAAACAGACACAGCCCTTTGAAAACTTGTTATGTTATTTGTTATGTTGTCTAGCAATAGGGGTGGTTGAAGACGTAGAGGTGGATGAGTATCATCAACTCGTCCAGAGCAACAAAAATTATGAAACTGATGATAACCGTAGTTAGTTACATAATTCTTTTCACAAAGCCGAATCGTTTTCGAAATCTTGAGAATAATGTATAAGCAATTTTAAGGAGAAAACCAAATTTCCAACCAAAAGCGATTATCTGAGAACGAGATGAGAAACATATTTTTCCAATGATTTTATTTTCGTTTCGCGGGCAAAATTTATGAATTAGGTAATTTGCTAAGTATAATTTGAATATACGGTAAGTTTTCAAGGGGAGCGGATTTTTAATTTTGATATTAACTATCGAAATATTCGATATTTTTCTTTATAAACTACTATTGAGAAAATGTGATAATTTTAAATGTAATATGATGATTTACTTTGCTCAATACTCGTCCGTTTGAAAGAAATACAGTTGAAAGAAGCAAAAAAATGGTAATTATAAAAAAAATTTGAGAATTAACAAACATTCAAGAAATTCTATAGATGTATTATTGAGATTGTATGAGGAGCATAAAAATCTGTTCTTACCTTTATTGTCAGGGTCCTCATTTATTCACACTTTGATACTTAATGGCGACTTAACTTACCGAGAGGGTATTTATTGTATTTGACATCGGTTATCTCTTGACGTTGAATCACAAAAATATCATAATGTCTGGTCGCGATAATTAAATTGCTGATCAATCTATTTGTAATAATCTGCAAGTGCTGATTGCAATTGAAAATATTCATAATTCGTAATACAGTCAAACTGAATAATTTTCATTTACTCAACACAGAAATCATTTATGTTTGAACTCATTGCTCGAACAATCAAAAATCTACAAATATTTTTCCTGAGTTTGGAGATAAAAACTTAACATTCCTTCTTTCAATGAAACACTTCAAAGAGTCCATTTGAAGAAAAAATCCTTTAGAATCATTTATTCATTTATTTATTACAGTTAACAGTTTACAGTTTACAATTACAGAATAGGGAGTAACAGTGGCGTTTACAAGTATGTTCTTACATAATGATTTGCGAATCTATATAAAAAAAAATTAAAAACAATAGCGTCAGTTAGCTGGATAATATTATAAGAAAAAACCACACAATTCACTGTTCCATGTAAGTGAAATTTTACCATTCATTTAGTATATTGTGTAGAACTCCTGTGAATGACGTCTGATGTAATTCCATAACGAATGTTTGGAATACATGTTTGGAGAAAAGTGGTTTTTGTCTAATTCTGTGTTCATATAAAATTATTTGTTTCGAAAGAATTATTCGTTCGTGTAATTCAATGTTTATATGAAAGTAGCTGTTTCAGGAGGGCTTTTTCTTCCAGTTTGTGTCTGAAAGTTACTTCTATGCATGATCTTCACATCTACTTTTGAAATTGATTGCTTCCTTCCTTTCTTTGGAAGATTCCCACTTCTTCATTTGTATCTAGATGGAGCAAACAAGATAGCCTGTATTATAATAAAAAAATGCACGATAATACTTTCTCTTCAATGTTCGTAAGTACTTTCTCGCAATAAACTCGAAATATAGTCTCTCATCATATTCACATCGTATTAGACTTGATAACGTTGTTCGAAGTTCATAATATTTTGATGGAAACGTTCTCCTTGCTCTGCTGAAGAAGCTCTCACGTCACTTTTAAATTTATCTAAATGGGCATGCATCATATGTACTTTTGAAAACATCCTGCATTCTTTCAACATATTCCCAGCTAGCTGTTCGCAGTCTTCAGCATTATTATTTCTTAAAAATCCAGACACTACTGCTTTGAATCTATTCCAACCTTCATTTTCAAGACTATTAAACAAATTTGGTAATTTTTTATCAATACAAATTTACCTAATGCACTTACTTTCAGCATATGTGGTCTCGGCCTATATCCATCGACATAACGCGGCGCTAAGAGTGCTATATTGTCATCTACGGCACTCTAACGGTATTGACGAGACACCGGTGTTGTCCTTCGCTCCTGGGGATATTGAATCCGTTGTGGGAAACAAGAAATGCCGAATTTATTGGAACTATTCGTTTCCCACCCCCAGGCTCATGTAGTCCTTCTCGACCACCAGAGCAAGACGATATTTGTCGTGGAGGTTTCAGCTCCTGGCGAGACGAATATCGTTCCAAAAGAGGGAGAAAAACGGATAGAATATAGAGATTTTCTCTTCAAACACCGTATACTCCATCCAGACTACTCTATCAAGATGGTTGTTCTGATTATTGGAGTCCTTGGTGGAATCTTAAAATTATACCGGCTTGCCGCACTGAAACAGAAATCTTGGCCGTGCAAATGCAGAAGGCTCTCATTCTTGGTTCACTGCGCTTGCTAAGGGCACATGATTCTCAGACCCAATGATCACTTACCCTACGGTGTGAGGAGTGGTCGTTGGTTGATAATGCTGCGCGCCCTCCCTAATGTATCGTGGTTTCGGGGGATAGGGCCTGACCAGCGCACACTACGGTAATAATAATAATAAAATAAGTATCAAAATATAATATTTCACCAATGACAATAATAATGATAAAAGAGGCAAAACATTATTGATAATAGACACGTGTTATAATAAAACGTAACTGATAGCTCACACGTATATTACAGGGTGTTTTACTGAAGAGAGCACTCTTATTACCAATTCCCATTTATTTTGTTATATACCAATTCCATTTACTTTATTATACTTAATAATTTTGTATCATTTTTGGGAAAGAAAGTTTTTGGCTTTCTACTACTGCATCTTGATACAGAAAAAAGGGATGAGGGAATCTACCAAAGAAAGAAAGGAAGTAATCAATTTAAAAATAAGTAACTTTATACATGGGTACATACATGGATGTGTAGATCATGCAAAGAAGTAACCTTCAGACATGAACTGGAAGAAAGTCCTCCTGAAACAGCTACTTTCATATAAACATTGAATTACACGAAAGAAAAAAAATTCTTTCGAAACAAATAGTTCTATATGAACACTGAATTATACAGAAGATACTTTTCTCTACTCAGTTTGTATTTCAAACATTCATTGTGGAATAAAAATCAGATATCATTCACATGAGTTCTACTTTAAATGAATAGTAACAAATTGCACTTACATGGAACACTGTCACCCTCACTGGTATACACCGATGTTTCGCCTTAAGACACTTGCCCTAAGGCTCTTCAGTACCAAATTGGATAACATTATAGAAAACACACACAGTTCATTCATGAATTACGACTTTTTAATGTCACGGAATAAGCTTGATCTGCTTATGTCATCGACGACATCGTAATTGATATTCATTCACCTATTTGATTTAATCCCAGCCAAGAGGATTCTTATTCAAATTGAGGGGGTTATATTTTTAGGAGTCATTAATTTTTGGGAAAGAAAGGTTTTGGCTTTCTACTACTCCATCTTGATACAAAAAAAGTGATGAGGGAATCTTCCAAAGAAAGGAAGGAAGTAATCAATTTGAAAATAAGTAACTCTATACATGGATGTGTAGATCATGCATACACAGACACAAACTGAAAGGAAGTCCTCCTGAAACAGCTACTTTCATATAAACATGGAATTACACGAAAGAAAAAAATTCTTTTGAAACAAATACTTCTATATGAACACTGAATTATACAGAAGATACTTTTCTCTACTCAGTTTGGATTTCAAACATTCATTGTGGAGTAAAAATCAGATATCATTCACATTAGTTCTACTTTGAATGAATGGTAATAAATTGCACTTACATGAAGTTTTATAACTTCTAAAAAAAATCGTGATTCATGAATGAATTGTGTGTATTTTCTATAATGTTATCCAATTCGGTACTGAGGAGCCTTGGGGCAAGTGTCTTTAGGCGAAACATCGGTGTATACCAGTGAGGTTGACAGTGTTCCATGTAAGTGCAATTTATTACCATTCATTCAAAGTAGAACTCATGTGAATGATATCTGATTTTTATTCCACAACGAATGTTTGATACAAACTGAGTAGAGAAAAGTATCTTCTGTATAATTCAGTGTTCATATAGAAGTATTTGTTTGGAAAGAATTTTTTTCTTTCTTGTAATTAAATGTTTATATGAAAGTAGCTGTTTCAGGAGGACTTTCTTTCAGTTTGTGTCTGTGTATTCATGTTCTATACATCCATGTATTGATTACTTCCTTCCTTTCTTTGGAAGATTCCCTCATACCTTTTATTTCTATCAAGATGGAGTAGTAGAAAGCCAAAAACTTTTTTTCCCAAAAATTAATAACTCCTAAAAATATAACCCCTTCAATTAAAATTTTGTATCAATTTTGAAATCCTAAATTTGCTCATTCTCCGACTGTTAGGCGGAATGACGTTCGCCGGGTCCGCTAGTTTCGAATAAATTGAATATGTATTCACTAAAATAGAAGGGTTTGAAGTATACTCTTGAATTTCACTAGTTCGGACTTCCATTGTCTACTATATAAAATGATTTGAAATCCCTGAAACAAGTAAAAAAAAGTAATTAAAAAAGAATAATTAAAAAAGAATAGTTGAAAATAACAATTATATTAAGCAACAATAAACCTGAAATGAAATGATAGTGAAATAACCTACAAGTAAAAATATAATAATTGAATAAATAAAAATTAAAGGAATGAA